CCCTCTCTCTCTCTCTCTCTCTCTCTCTCTCTCTCTCTCTCTCTCTCTCTCTCTCTCTCTCTCTCTTTTTGTGAATCAACATTTTTACAAACCAGTTGTATAAAACCTTACACTGTACAAACACTAATGATGGTTTCTATGAAATCATACAAATCCCATTACCTTCTAAAAACATGAATGAAAACTATATTTAAGTATTCAGGCGCACTATGCTTCTTTGATAATTTTTGACTAAAACGGGATTTTTTATGTTCACGTTAATCAAATTATTGTAAACACTCATTCCTGATTAAAACAAGCTAAAATTGAAGGAAAACAACTTCAAACTATATTTTGATGTCACCTGGCCTCTGTTAAAATTTGTAAATGTTTCTTAGGACAATATACACATAATCTAGACAAAGAAAATTATAATAAACACATCATTGGAAGAATATTTTCTAACTAAATGACCGGAAAATATACTATTTGAAACATCAGGATGGGATAACAAGCTGAAAATACAGGAAATCGAATGTAAAAAATTATAGATTTGTTTTCTGAAAAAACTCCCGAATTTCAAACAAGAACAGTCTTGATATAATTTTTATAATTTTCAATATTCATTCCCATCACATCAGAGGTATACAAACCCCAGAGGTATACAAAACACACACACACACACACACACAATAAGAGTGTTCCAAAATGCCAGCTGATATAATCTTAAGTATTAAATGAAATGTTTGGTTAAAGTTAACGGGTCAGCAATTCAATGACTACGTAAAGATTAACATTCTGTCTTTAAATGCTTGCGTGAACCTATATTCAGACCCCGAAAATTACAGGATTATTTGTTTGACGACGTTTTATAAGAACTCCGTTCTACTGTCTTTTGACTTATATTCCAGCTGGTATTACATATTCAAACAGGAAAAAAAACTGCCTAATCTATATAAGAAACGAGAAACACATATGAACCACACTTATAAACGACAACCACTGAACAACAGGCTCCTGACTGCACATTTACGTTTTAATGGGCAGAATTTCTGGATTTTGTGAAATTTTGCATGTATTATATACAATACGAACAAAATTAATTACTTTATTAAAAAAAAGTTTCTTTTAAAGCTTATTTAGACTCAAGACATACTCAAAATGGATAAAGACAAAATGCCGCTTTTAAATTTTGATTAGAGAACTTGAAATTTCATATCTGGCATTTTTTAAACCGAAAAAAAGATAATCTTTATTAATTTTAAAAAATACGTCCTGCGATGTGGCTTTGATATTTCACTATTTAAGATTCATTATTTCCTGTCGTAAGGTTACTGCCCTAACGACGTGTACTCCAAAACTTTATTTTCCGAATACAGACTATGATTTCCCAACGCAGTATAACCTCTTTTGTTTTAAAATGGTACCTTTAATAAAGAGAAAAATGACCTCAAGTTTCAGTATGTTCATTGATTTTCAGTTCTGAATTAGACCTGCAGTAATTCTTTTAGTGACTTATCTCCTAATCACCGTTGATTGGTCTTGTTCAACTCCTTATCTCACTTTATATTACCCGCCGCTGTTTCACTTTATATTACCCGCCGCTGTTATAGATTTAACGATAAACATTGAGATTAGATACATTTAAATACTATCCTTTTCACTGCAATCTTTTTCTCATTCTTTGTGCCTTTTTGGAGACTGATAAATGTTATTTATAACTGCAGTTGTAAGAATTATTTGTTATATTTTAGTTTTTATAAATGAATCGTAATGATATTTCTGCATTAACTCAAGAAGTTATCATTGCCTTGCCATGTTACGGAATAATTTGACAAATGAAATATGAAAATAAGTTGGTTAAAAGAGTTTTACGAAATGAATTTTACCAATTAACGAATAAAATTGGATTCGTTTATAAGAGCTTGTCACTGATGTTGTAATCGTAAACAAAAGAATAATCAAAGACTTAAAATAGCAGTTGCCAATCAGAATTTTGAGTGTCAACACTTTTTGTTATTTTCCGTTTTAAAAAAGAGACTGACGAAACTAATGGGGAAATAGTAATTCACCAGTAATCGACGAAACCATTGCAAACAACGAAGAACAACGAAATGACAAAATAACAATCTTCAAAACACTACATAGAAAACTCTATGATTATCTCCGGTGTTCCGGAAGTGTACGTGAATCCTGATCAACAAGTGAAACTCGTCGTGATGCTAATTGTTAGTACAAATTTGGTGATATCACCATCGAGGAAAAAAGATAGAGATGTGCACGTGGCTATAATAATTTGAACATATACATATATGGTTCTTCAAGCCTAATCATTAGTGCGTCCCAAAAAGTTTCGAAGGGGTATAATTAACTTTTTGTAGCCCTTTTTTTTAAAGACACAAATATAAATGAAAATAACCCTATATAAATTTCTTTGCGAAGATAACAACAACAGCCATTTTTTGCATACACCATGTACATAAATCAAGATCGTTACACTCTAAATACATTGTTTTGTGTTGTTTGAGATGAAGGCAAACGCATCTGTATTGAAATGCAATCAAACAGCCAAGTACAGTATTTTTATTGTTTTAAAGTGCATTATATCATTCATTATTTTCACCAACTAAGGATGCACCGTGGGGGCATCGCTTGTGTATTGCATCATCTTATCTTTGGAGGAAGGACATCGTGTGGCATGGAAGAAGTGTAATAACACGGAAATTCTCTTAATATTACATTGCTTAACGATTTCTTCCACCTCATGCTGTATTATTCTATGCTTTTCGTTCATGAGAAGATATAGCTCAATTTTAGTTCTCATAATGCGTTCTTAATCGATTTTGTCGGTCAGAACATTTTTAATTACAACTTAGAAATGTGTATCTTGTTTCACAGCTTCACATGAATGCTATAGGGAGGCCACTTCACTACGTATCTTGGTCAAGTCCCGCCTTCGTTAAACACTTGCTCTCTTATAATCTAAGTACAGATGAAGAGTCAATGTTACCAAAAATTCCAACTCATACTGACCTTTATTTGGTCAGAGACCCTGTGATAGACAATGGAAGGGATATGCTCTGTAGTTTATAATGAAAATGTTATTTTGATCACGTGACTGTACGACAAAATGTTAATGTAATAAACAGTTCTTATACTTCTGAATTGAATTGCATTTCGAAATGTCAATGTAAATCAGACAATTTGAGAACGTTTATTAATCATTTCGAAAATCCTAATATGAATAGACATGTGTCCTTGATAAAATATCAAAAACCTTTTAACAGAACCTCTTACTCATCTTAGTTGTCTGACATTTATGAATTTCGTTTTCAAACTTAAAGAGAGGGAACAATCAAATTAAGAACATATAGTGCAGATTTAAAGTTGCAATAGCTGTAAAACGATTGTTGTTTTGAATAAATCATATAGTGTGTCAACAAAGGCTAAGTTCAGGTAAAGTTTTATTCAGTCGCAACTCCTTATTCCATTTTGAATTTTCTTTCTTTTGATAAATGTGTTTTCCCGTCCTTTGTTGGATCATCAAAACAATATGATTCCCACTTATATTCCTTTTGTAAAAGGAATATGTACAATAAAGTGCATTTTATATATTGTTACGTAACAAGAAGTGTAGGGAATTTCTATCGTTTTAATTCCAAAGAAGTACGTATTGTGCGTATTTCTATCAAAGGTATCGTAAAATGATGTTTGTAAAGTGAAGCTCACACTTGGTGATTATTAATATCACTTGAAGCCGATTGTTTTATTTACTTCGATCAAATGTGAGTAATTCGTGTAAAACAACTCTTTTGTCATGCCATTGGGTGAATGAAAGGTTAGTTTCTTTGTTGAAAAAAAGTAAAAAGTAAAAAAAATAACAAAAATACCGAACTCCAAGGAAATTTCAAAACGGAGAGTCCCTTATCAAATGGCAAAATTAAAAGCTCAAACACATCAAACGAATGGAAAACAACTGTCATATTCCTGACGTGGTACAGGCAGTTCCTTATGTAGAAAATGGTGGATTAAACCTGGTTTTATAGCTAGCTTAACCTCTCACTTGTATGACAGTCGTATAAAATTCCATTATATTGACAACAATGTGCGTGTGAACAGAACAAACAGACACAATAGGTAAAAATGTCAAAAGTAGGGGTACAGCAGTCAACATTGTGTTATAATCTTAAAAACTATAAAAACAACAAATATGTCAACAAAGAAAAACAAAATGGCATAAATGCAAAGCACATCAGCAAAAATGAAAGACAAGAATGCAAAAAATGACGATGGCACAATAACACAATGGCGTGATGTATAAGTACCGAAATTGACTTAACAGTAAAGTAAATAATTTATAAAGACAAATAAAAGAACGCAATAACAACGTAATTAGATTTAACGAAACGACTTAGATGTAACGGTTTCAATAAGTAAATCGACAAACATTTAAACAAATGAAAGAAAACGAAATTGAGATTTAACACACAATATGTTTCTATGTTTATCAAACGCCATTACAACTGTTAAGCAAGTAATGAATATCAAATATTGATGTACCTTCTTTTTGTGAAGTGATCGAATTTTTTGGACAAATGGGATGTAAGTACAGTCTGAATGTTCAAAATGAATGTACGATAATGGGACAACAACCCATCTACATCAAATTAAGAAAAAAACATGGCCATCACATCGTCTTTAATACAAAATACTTTAAATTGCAGTTCTAGTGTATTTAGATCTAACGAAAGACAAATATGAGGTGCCTCAATTGGAGTAGCACTAGGTTCACTCGGTATTTTAAAACTACCAGAATTCCTCGAACTATATAACTTGTAGTTGATAACATAAAATTTTTGTTTTTGTACGAAAATCATAATCATACAATTGGTTATTTTTTCTTGTAACTTAAGTAGTTGTTTTCACCATTTGACAAATGAAAACTATTTACATGGCAATTCTTTTATAATATTTATGAATATTTTGGTCATCCATGCTAACCACTTTCATGCTATTTGCAGATTAGTTTCTTTTCTACAAGTTCAGTGCTTAGCAGCAGAGATCGGTATCCATATTTTCTGCGGACCATTCCATCAGACGTCAATCAAGCTCAAGCTATGGTAGAAATCGTTCGGATGTTAAACTGGACCTATGTTTCGGTTGTTTACGAAGAATCTAGTTACGGAATACAGGTATGTATTTAGCAAGTCAAAGTATATTCCGAACGAAAATTATTCGAATTTTTCACCAAAAATCTATAAGTAATACTGTAACTAAAATGATTAACTTTCTTCTAGAAAGTGTCATATTATTTTATATATGATGACTCAGAATGGTCAAATGTGATCATTTTCAAATCACCCATCCATTATCGAGCATTGAACTTGGAATGACAATACTTTAAAAAAAATATGTGTAAATTGGACAAATCTTGTTTTAAAATTCGAAATAAGTATCTTCGATTATTTATATTTACAAAAAGTCAGATGCCACTGCATTGATATTGCCTTTTTCACAAAAGCAACTTGACCCATGCAGATCTATATTCACATTAAAACCCAGACGACTAATCTTTTCCAAATTTGATTTAGGTTATTTGTCTCGACTATTTCAATTAATCTTCATTGAAAACATCAACAATTTCTGTTGATGGCTATTATATGTTAGATGTATGGTAGTAAGACTTTTATCTGTAAACTGAATTATATTCCTTATCCTTTTATAGTTATTTACAGTAATCAAATGTGTTTAAATGGGCATTTGTTATTTCTGTGGTGTGTACAATGGTCCGTAGCAGAACAGTAAATAATAATAAGTCTTTGAAAGATAGTAATTGATAAGAAATGTATGAAATTGATAATCCATTTAAAATGCAAAGATTCAAAGATTGGTTGATTATCATAGGTCAATGATTTAAAATCTTGTAAAAATGAATAGAATGAAATCTGCTAATGACCGTTGAGCTGGTAAGGAATTTAACTTAGACAAATAAGTCATCAAGGATTTCATGCCTATAGTTTTCTACGTTAGACGCGGGTTTCGTTTCGTCTAAAAAAGACTCATTAGTGACGCTTAAATCAAATAAGTAAAACGGCCAAATATAGCACGAAGTTGAGGAGCATTGAAATCCCAAACTCCGAGAGGATTGCCAAATGCAGCAAATTTTGAAAGATATACAATATAGTTCGTACTGAACAAGCTTACATCTATTTAAATAATCAAATAATCAATTTTAAAAAAATCGATTAAGAAGACAAATCAAGGTAACTAACAAACGAAAGCTAAGGGATTCGCATAATGTAATATTACAATGACTTTAAAACTGACATCACATTTGGAATGGATCACAACTTTCTTGTTTATCTATGTATCAAACATAAATGTGAAAAGTATTATTTTTAGTTTGATGTGTCAACGCATGTTTGTTTGGTGTAGAATTTGACTTTTATGTCAATGATTTTGCTAGATAGTGGCAAAACGTGGATAAGACATATGATGTGCGTATTGCTGTGTGTTTGTTTATTCTACATTGGCTAGAGGTATAGGGGGAGGGTTGAGATCTCACAAAACATGTTTAACCCCGCCGCATGTTTCCGCCTGTTCCAAGTCAGGAACATCTGGCCTTTGTTAGCCCTGCATGCTTTGTTTTAATTTTGGTTCATTTATATGGTTCGGAGTTTAGTGTGACGTCCACTTTCTCTGAACCAGTATACCATTTTGTTAAGGGGACAACTAAAGATCACCACCGGGTGCGGGATTTTCTCGCTGTGTTGAAGAACCATTTGGTGGCCTTGAGCTGTATTCTGCTCTATGGTCGAGTTGTTGTATCTTTGACACATTCCCCGTTTCCATTCTCAATTTTATATATAATATTTCTGAAAGTGACAATTCGATGATAAATTAAAGTTCACAAATTTTTTGGGTCTATAAACACTCATACTACATCTATCTTCAACAACCCAAATGTTGCTAAATACTCTCTAAAGACGGAGCAAACAGATGAGTACAAAATACAATTTCACGTATATGTTCATGTCTTGCATTCTTGTTCCTTAAAAGAAGCTATTATTATCATTTAACTTCACGTTCTGTTATTTAGATGATGTCCTCTCAGTTAATTATTCTAAGTTTGGTTACTATGTTGATTGCATCTATCCCTTTAAATTTGAAATAGAGGATACCATAGACACATTTAAATCTGCTTCATATATTACTTTTGCTGGTGGTCTGTTGGTCAGTACTGAAGTATACAATATGGATAATAAAAAATGCTGTTACAAAATTTTGGAAATGGTTTCAAATTCAGGAATGTATCTCCCTTTCCCCGTTTTTAGCTATAATTTTTGTCATTTTTGGATTATAAAAAAGCTCGTCATTTTTTAATAAATTTGGATTGTCAAATATTTTGCCCTCGAGCATCAGTGAAGGGATATTTATTGTCGAAATGCGCATCTGGTTTAGTAAAAAAGGTACCGTTAATATTGTTACATGTATTGTACATCTAGAAATTGAAAATAAGATTTCATTGAGAACTCAACAGAGAAAAAAGACATGATTTAATTATTTTCCTATCTAAACTTTACATAACTATTATAGCAACAAATATCAGAATCTACATACTGATTATGCTGCTTCTAAATCATACGATATTCCTTGCTTGCGTGTCCTATCAGAATGTCATTGGTAGAAAATTGCTGATTACGCAGAAACTAAAGGATTCTTAATGGTACCGTTGAACGGACATTAACATGAATTGCTTGACCGTTATCGAGTATCTGTGATGACCACGGATGTTGTGTCGCAGCAACAATATTGTCCAATAGAACTCTATAGTTACAGATCCCAATGCGACTTATCATCGGATATTTATTTGCCATGTGCCACTAATAAAGCAGGCACTACGAATGATATGAGTACACAATGGTTATTTGGCGGGGTAACTGTTGCTATTGAAAATAAGTCAAAGTATCCGTATCATTATATCTTAAATATTTTAATTCATTAAAACCTTATAATTCAATATTAAGAGGATCTCTATAAATTTAGGTGTCTTTTTGTCGAAGAAATTAATATTTTTTTATTTTCAATGATCATGTGGTCTATCGTGACATGCTATTTTTTTTAAAAACTTTATAGGTCACAGGAACTCGCGTGAGTTAATTCAATTAATAAAACCTGGTGCATTTATAGTGTTAAGAAAAACTATTGACAATGAAAAAAGCTACAAAAAAAGTTAACCCATTTTTATTTACAACAAAAACACTACGTAATGGTCAACCAATTGTTGATGACTAATTGACAGTTAACATAAAGGTCAGTGCGTTGTAAAGAAATAATGCACTTTCAACGAAATTGAGAACTATGCTCTTAAAATGAATTCTGAAAGGCTGCATCCAATTTAGTTATTTAGACAGTACTTTAGGGTTGTCTGTCTAGAATTGCTCTTTTTTTCTTTATATATACGAACCAAAAACAAGTACCATACACAAGGAACGGTTGGTTTTTTAGGAACACAAGTGTTAACATCCAGTTGTTATTTTGTTCAATTTTCTTCTTTTTGAGTTCAACTGTAGTAGTGTTCTGTAGACTATTGTTTATCTTTATCTTTTGGTTTTAGTTTTGATTTTCATTTAGTTTTTTTCCGTTTGATGTGGTGTTTTCTGAAATTCTTCATATTAATATTTGTATTGTTGATATATATTTTCTGATGCTTTCATTAGGGATTTAACGAGCTTGAAAAACTACTGAAGGAAGCTAATATTTGTATAGCTACAACTGAAAAGTTAACAAAAGACTCTGGCGTAGCAGGTCAAGACACGTATGATGATATTGTTGACAAACTGAAATTGAAACCAAATGCCAGAGGTATTTATAAAGGAGTAAAACCCCTTGTTCATAGCCCAATGCTTTTTAGGTTAATTTCTGCAATTTCAAGCATTCATAGCTACTTTGTCTAAAGTTCAGTTTTGCTTATGTGCTTTGTCCATAGCGTGTCTATATGCCATTTTTATGTCTTAGCTGGAATAGTTGTTTGTTTTCTTAATGATTAAGATTATAACACAATGTTGACTGCTGTACCCCTATTTTTGACATTTTTACCTATCATATCTGTTTGTTTTGCTCACACATTGTTGTCAATATAATGAAATTCTATGAGACTGTCATACAACATGTATAAGTGAGAAGTTTAGCTATCTATAAAACCAGGTTTTATCCACCATTTTATACCCAAGGAAATGCCTGTACCTAGTCAGGAATAAGACAGTTGTCTTCCATTCGTTTGATGTGTTTGAGCTTATGATTTTGCCATTCGATAAAGGACTTTCCGTTTTGAATTTTCCTTAGAGTTCGTTTTTTTTTGTTATTTTATTTTTTTCAAATTAAGTGACAGTCATTTCATGTCAAAACTATACCTCACCCTGTGATGGATGAAACATTTAACATACCTTTAATTACATATTAGAGTGCCCTGGTTCCCGGAAGTTTGATAGTACAAAACAGGTACCTCCGATCTGAAAAACAGGGCAAAAATCCAAGAAAGAATTTTCAACCAGGGTTTTACAGTGATCCCAAGACCTTGGAGTTCAGTATTTTTGTTATATTACTGTTTTTTCATACCAAAATCATCCAAATATTTACTTATTGACAAAGTTACAGCTATGCGTAGGAACTATTTTGTTAAAATATGTACTGCTTTCTTGTATGTAAGATTTGTGTTTGTTTTAATTGTTGTGTATTGCAAAGTGTCTATTTAAATAATAAAATTGTTATTAGATAATTTCAACTAAAAAGAAACAAGCAAATAACATTAAATTCTGTGTTCTTCAATGATCAGATGTAGCTAAATAGACATCTAGCAAATAGTTCCGCAGTGTCGTCTTGAATTCGGAGTCAGCTGCGTTTGTGTGCTGCATGTGGAAGGCCACACTTCAACTGTTTAATTGAAGAACATTTATAACAGCACTGTTCGGATGCTTTTGTTTTTTCATGTGCGTGTAACATTTTTTGTCATGAATGTAAACTCCGTAATCTTTCTTTTCCATTGCATAACCCAATATGGTTTCTCGTTATTGTGGAAAACAAAATATTGCAGTCATTTAAAAAAAAATTGTAATATTTTCAGTCAGCTTGTGAAGGTAAGCAATGCCAAAAATATATTGTTAACACGGAATTTGGAAAGGTACAAAGAACAATAGCTTAAGAACCTATACTCTTTCAAAGCAGTAAAAATTTACAATTTTCTATCTAGAACTTAAAATTAAATGTGTAAATTCATGTCATCATTGTTGTCACTTATAGTTTTTGATTATTCACAACTAGGTGTTATAATTTTTGGATCTGACCAAGAAGTAGGTGAATTGATGGAAGCAGTTAAAAGAAGAAATTCAACAGGGATGTTTACCTGGATAGGTAGCGATGGTTGGGGAGGACGTGGTCTTGCTTATCATGGAAAGGAGGAACAGGTATTATAATCATATAAATAGATAATTTCTAAGGAAAACATAAACTTTCGATTTTTATTGCGAATGAATATCAATTTTATTCAAAATTACTTTCCATATTGTTTTGATCTGAAATAATATCTCTAATATCGGATGACCATGAAACATTTATCTTAATTCCGTCCCCCTATTTTGTGTTACTGATATCATTGATTTTGACCTATGGCCAACATCTCACTTTTCCTGACCACTCTAATAAGTCAAGACCTTCGTATCCTGTCGGGACACTTAAGTTTATTACTTTTGTATTTTATTTAATTTTTTAACATTTTATATACATTTTAAAAGTTTTATGATGTAAAATGTTTCTGAATAGTTTTCTTAACATATACACAAGTGCAATTCAAATAATTTAAAGACAAATTATTTACCAAAACACATGCCGATTGTTTCATGATATCAAAAATAATACACCAATCCTTATTCATTTCAATTTTCCTTTCCATGAGAAAAAATGTTTTTGTCAACCATATAATGTACATTTATATTGATTGTTTCCTTAATAAATATATTAAAACGCAATTGCAGTTATTAAAAAGTAAAATAACAAAAATACCAAACTCCAAGTAAAATTCAAAACGGACAGTCCCCCATCAAATAGCAAAGTCAAAAGTTCAAACGCATCAAACGAATGGAAAACAACTGCCATATTCCTGACTTGGTAAAGGCATTTCATTAATTAGTACAGTATCAAACTATTCCGATCGTCTTATTTTGTCGATTATAATGTTTTGTCCTGCAGGTTTAACACATGCATTGTGTGTTATTGAAATAAAGAAAGCATGTTATGCAAAAGAAACATTTTAAGTTAGTACAATGGAAAACAAAAGATTCTGCCAAAACAAAATTTGTAATTTTGATAAAGTGCTTATAGCTTTTAAAAGCATTTTCGATTAGGAATCTGGTCAATTATTTCCACAATTTTAATACAATATTAATTGAAAGACTTTAAATTAATTTCCTGTTCAATTTTGCTTCACACTTTTGCAATTATATAGACATTACTTCAACAATTCATGCTAATTTCATAATCAACTACACGGGTTCTCTCGAAGGTCAGTGATTCCAACATTACTTGATTTGGCTATTAAGTAGTGCTTTGAATTAATAGGTTGAAGCCTTATAGTACTACTTTCTAAATTGACTAGGAAAATAAACGAAAAAATACTTCTTGATATAGAGTTGACAACGTGTTGTTGTTAAAGAAATGGCTGCTTCTTTTTGTATTTCCTCGAGTGTTAAAACGTTGAACAAAACTTATTTTCTATTTTAAGCGCTTCAACTTACATTTTAATGCATAAACCAGGACATTACAAGTAACATCATGATTTTCGTTTCTGAGTTTTAAACATTCCCATGGATTTTTTTTAACGTTTTCACAACTCGTAAAGTAATGGCTATTGCATTTATATGAGAATAAACATCACTTTAAATCACCACATGCGTGATGTCATCCAATAAAAATGATTGAATCCTATAGAAAATCTATGTATATATTATATTTTATATCTTTGCAACTTGAATTTGTGTTAATGTTTTTGTATGAACGTTCCTGATGTATGTAAATCCAGAAGAGCGCTTTGGTTCACGAAATTGTGAAAGTATTAATTTGATTGAATACTTTATAGGCATATGCGTTTTCGAATGGTGCGTGTACTGAACAGTTAAAACATGATTATAGTATGTCCATTTGGTCGACGCTGTCTTGTACAATTATACAGAGAGTTCATTTCATTTCATTATACTTCGTACTTTTGACTCGAATGATGAATTAGAGGTAAAAGTAGTTTACAGATGTTCAATTCTCATTTCAACCATACAACTCAAGGGAAAAACAAAAACTACAGGAATTATATGAACTTCAAACAGTCCGATACCGGTATTTTGGCAGGGAAAGCGCTTCCTTCTTTGCATGCATCACCAGCCACCCAAATCTGCATTCAATCAAAATGTCACAATCTTGAATAGTACACACTCGTTAGATAAACAGATTAGACGACTTTCCTGAAATCTAAAGATCAATATCAGCGAAAAAGTGAGACACAGACATATCAGTCAAACAATTCGTGACATAAGGACAGTAAAAGCAGTGTCGATTGCAGTCGTGTTTCATCATAACTCTGTTAGAGCAGTCTTTGTGTCAGGAGTGCATCCTGGCCTTAGGTTAGATAACATGAAATATAAATAGTCTATTAAAGTAAAGTAAAATAGCATTGCTATTTTCTGCTACTTTAATCATTGTCATAATATTAATGCATTGCATATCATCACTCATTCGTTGTAAAACTGCTACATAGCAAATTAAGTAACCCCAAAAAAGCTTGAAATATTTCATAATTGTAGGTTTAGGTAACTATGCTTATTATACTTCAAAGTATAATTGAATAAATCCATTAGCTAATAATAGATCACATGGGGTGAATTAGTTTGGATATTTTCGTTTAAATCAGCAGGGCCGGTGTATAACATCGACAAATTGTACCGTCCGGTGAAAAATCCTACTATTCGCCGCCGTTGAATTATAGGGATATTCACCGGTGTAAATGATACTTGTTTATTTTGGTCTTTTTCCACGGGCCAAATTTAATGCCAATATGTGTTCGGCATAATAAAGCAGTAACGGTCCTATGAGTCGGGCGATACCCAAAATTGTCATCCCTGCGAAGTGTTATTCCCCTCGGGCTAAATCCCTCAGGGATATAATCCTTAGCAGGGTTGACAATTTTGGATATCAACCTCCTTCGAGGACCGTAATTGTATATTAAAGTTGTGCTTTAAAACCATATATGTTGAAACTACTGGTCGAATAAATCTTGCAAGGTGCCAATACTGATTAAAAAGAATGACAAGTAAACCTATGAAAAGTTCAATATTATATGTTATGTTTATAGAACATGGACACCTTGTTTAAAATGTATAAAATTCTCACTCGTTTTATTGCCATAATTGGCTGCTTTTTTTTTTAATTCAAAATTGAGTTTGATACAAACACTTTATATCAACAGTCATACAATATTTAAACTACTTCTAAATAAGTATGTAAGGTAAAGGTCAATTTATCTACGTATATAATTATGTAGTACGAGAGGGTATGCATAGGGAAAAAAAGAGTTTCATGATATGTTTAGTGCTATAGGGACAGTAGTTGTTTGTGTTTATTCTGTTTTCATTTAGGCATAGACACTCTGCTGTCTGATTTGTTCATCAACTCCTGGTTTCAGATTGCCCATAGGTATCTGATTCCCCCGTTTAAACACAAAAGCAATTAATAAATAAAATGCATGATAGTTTATCTTTCACAGACAACAGCTATTATTAACTTTATACATCATTGCATTTAAACGTATGAATTAGGCAAATGATTGAAAATTATTTCTGATTGGTCGCTTTTGGAAGAAATTTGATAATGCTTGACCACAAAAGACTACATCGAACACCACCTAAAGGAAAACGATCGTGTTTCGCAGAGTGTTATTTTGTTTAGAGGATTATTACACTTTTGATTACTGGAGGAAAAAAGGCGAAGCATAGTTTAATATCAGCGTGTTTATACAATAAACGTCTGACTTGATTGCTCGCATTGATGTTTTTAAAAGAAAATATTTATTGATTTAGTCTTCTCGAATTGTAGATTTACAATTATAAATGAAAAGATTGAAATCAGTATAGCTTTTGTTTGAATTTGACTTCTTTTTTAGGTTTAAGGTTTTGTTTTGAACGTTTTTTTGTACATAAATGTTTGGGGATTTTTTTTAATTTATTTTTTTTTTAATTTTTAATTTTTTGTTGCCGTTTTTGGTATCTTTTTGTCTGACTGTCTTTTTTTCATTTTTGATATTGGTTTAATTTTCTAATGTATTAATGTGTATGAAAAGCTTTAGATATTCGAATGTCATATTAAACACTGTCTGTTCTTTTTGGTTCGACGGTAGTTATTAGATATTACTCAGATTGGTGACTCCGTTACCTTACTTTGTATATATTGCTATTGGTCAAAATAATACTATTCATCTCACTTTTGTCTCATCTGTCATTTCGAGTTTTTGACTTCTGATTTTTGTGTCGGTGTCTTAATTCTACATTTTTATTTTATACATTTATCATTTTCTTATTAGGTAAAACCATTCGTCATTATTTTATTTATTTGTTTTGATATTTTTTTTAAAACTTTTTCTCTCTCACCGATCATGGTTTTTCTAAAAGTCAAATTCTTAACAAAACAATCTATTTTTCCACTGTTAGTCAGTTTTTCATTGGTTTTCATGTGTTTGTTTGCTTGTTTATTTCTCTTTTCAATGGTATGATTCTGATATTAGTATTTCATTTACATTCTACTCTCTTATAGTGTAGCGCAATTCGTTGCGTATAAATACTTACCAGTCTATAACTCATTTTCAGTCTCTACGATTAATGGTCTTATCATTATAGTTATTAATAGAGTCAGAACTAAATACACAAATAAGTAAACGGTTCTTTTTTTCATACAAGTAATACAAACAACTATATCCATAAACCCGTTATACTGTTTACCAAGGAAATAAAAACGTTTTATTGATACGTGTTGTGTCCTTCTTATAAACGGACTTTATTTGTCTATTGACAATTCTTAGGATGTTCATTTTATTTCCTCGTTAACGTTTATGTACAATTTAATAAGCAAAGGACGTTTCCGATGTACGATGAATGAATAATAATCTTCTTCTTTAACTGGATAATAACCATGAGAATAATCAGACATCTTTATAAGTTTTCGTGGCAAACATTCACAATATTGGTATTTACCTCGAAGGATTTCAAGCAGAAAATATTTCCGAATTTCAAATATTGTGCATTATTTTTATGTTTAAGACTGCTTCTTAACTAAATCCCATAAAAATTTGAAAAAAAAATAGAACCAAAAAACATGTAAAGGTATATTTTTTAATCGTACATCGAGAATAGCTTAATTCGGTACTTACATGAACATACGGATATTGTTTGATTAAAATTTGCTGTTATAAAATTTTGGAAATTATTTTAAATTAAGGAATATATCTCCCTCATACAAAGTTCTGGTTCCTTTTTCTGAATTTGGCTATACTTTCGATCCTTTTTTGTTTGATCCTCCCTTCAACATTTGTATTAGATTTTGGATATTCCAATACATTTTGGCCTCGAGCTTCACTGAAGAGACATTATTTGTCGAAATGCGCATCAAGTGCATCGAATTGGTACCGTTTGTGTTATTAAAATGTTAAACGAATGAAATACCTAGAACGATTGACCTCTTTATCAGTAAACGAAATAACTGGAAAGTCTAATACATTTAGAAGCAATTTTATAAGAAAAACATGTCTTTCTCATCAGCGTCCATGTGGAATTTGTATATATTATCTTTCAACAGGTTGAAGGTGCTATTACAACACAACCATTAGCATACGAAGTAAAAGGATTTAAGAATTATTTCTTAAAGTTAAAACCTGGAAGCAATCATAGGAATCCTTGGTTTATTGAATACTGGGAACAACACTTCAAATGCAAATATCCTGGTAGTCCATGGACACCTTATAACGAGAACTTTATGAAGGACTGTACAGGCAATGAATCGTTTAATCTAGACACATTTGACATGGAAGCTCAATTACAATTTGTCAGCGATGCTGTTATGGCGTTTGCACATGCAATTAAGGTATACTTTATTAAATGGTGAAGTTGAAGTCATCCCTTCGTAAATTTTACGGACGCCATCACGAGTTGGTTGACCGTTATGGAATAACCGTTTCACAGATGATATCGGATATGTTCCTTATGTCGTAACTACAATACCCTTCCCTTTTCACGAATGTGACTTACCGAATTAGACTATTTACCGGATTTGTAATAACATAAGCAACTCGACGGGTGCCACATGTGGAGCAGGATCTGCTTACCCTTCCGGAGCACCTGAGATCACCCCCAGTTTTTGGTGGGGTTCGTGTTGCTTAGTCTTTAGTTTTCTATGTTGTGTCATCTGTACTATTATTTGTCTGTTTGTCTTTTTATTTTTGGCCATGACGTTGTCAGTTTGTTTTCGATCTATGAGTTTGACTGTCCCTCTGGTATCTTTCGTCCCTCTTTTATTACAATTTGAAATAAGAAAATGTGGTATGTTTGCCATTGATACAACTTTTCTTCAAGACCGTAGGACAAGAATGTAAACAACAACAGCTTACATTATAGACTTAAAAAACCCATACTACTTGTATGAAAGGACGCAGAGTAACAAAATGTAAAACAAATACAAATTAGAAAACAAACAACCTGGTTTAAATGCAACCAAATTACAAACCGCACAGAATAACTTCAAAAGCTTAAAAAGCATAGCAAACATGTATAGGGATTTTATTTTAATCATATATACAGCAAACACATGCCGTTACATGGGTTGTTAAAACATTGTTCTATTTGAGTTTTCACATTACACAATCCTAAGAAATGTATGCTTCTCAGTATGATTATCACAAAGAATGTTTCCTTATCTACGAAAATTTGAAATTTCAGCCGGTTTTGTTGACGTTTTGTATTAGTCAGAACGAATATTCTGCAAAAGTCAAGGTTTTGACGAGTTATCTAAGCATTGTGACAACAGGGAAGTCTCTGAAACTCATTACTCCCAAATAAAGTGCTAACCTAAAAGATCTTTTTTTAAAAACGCATTTTAGCATGAGATGTCAAGTTGTCAATTTTCTTTTTCTTTATCCAACATTTCATTTTAAACATACAAATGATGATGCCTATAATTTGTACATATTCTGAAAATGATAAGATCTGAAACAAACGTATTCAAAGTAATTTTCGTCGGGACAATACATTTGCATATTAATGCACTCATGTGCATAGCATTTGAGATCAAATAAAAGTCATTGATAATACAAAAGGTAATACTAAGGTAATATTTGAATAATTTTAGAATATGCACCAAACACTCTGTCCAAATACCAATGGAATATGCGATGCTATGAACCCAATAGATGGTGAACAACTGAAAAAGTTTCTTTTAGAGGTACAATTTAAAGGTAAAGTATGGGGTTAATAAAATAGACTGATGTGAAACTTCTTAACTGTTATGTATATCAAATTCCAATTAACTGGACTTTGAATTCGAAAGTCTTAGAACAAATATAAAAATAAGAAGTTCAAATGAAGTGAATGGAAGCAATTAAAGGCAACCGTACGGCTTTCAAAAATGACAAAAAAGCATGGCCATTCCGCATAGTCGGCTATAAAAGGCCCCGTCATGAAAAAATGAAACAATTCAATTGAGAAAACTTGGAATAGGCACATTAGAATATTGCGGGGTTCGTGTCAGTATGTGCACTCGTTTTTGAATGATTGAAAATATGGAGAATAAATGTAAGATTCAAATGCCGAACCACTTCATTTATAAGGACCTATCTGCATTCAAAATTGCCTTCCTGTTTAATTTTGTGCAGATATATATTTTATAATATATTTGTATTTCGAATAATGTCAAGAATTAAAGTTCGAAGAATTGTCGTTGGTGCTGTGTATGTACTCCTATCATAATACAAGTAATAGAAAGAATGTAAATGACCCATAATTCTACCTTGAAAAAAAAAGGATCTCTCAAAATCTTTAAAAAACATGTTTGATAAAAGGGCGTCAATTTGGGCACTCTCTGATTACAGAAATTTTGCATGCTATTTTTTCAGTAGATATATTGTGATTATGCGATTAAAGTTCCTTCGATGCACTATTTGAAATAAAACAGAAATGAAGTTTTCGGATATGCAATTAAGGTGAAAATTACATCAGATATGTGCAATTATAAAATAGGTACAGATAGATGCGGTCATCACTGTAAAAAACGATAACTTAGAGCAGACATCTTGACTGCTCCCTTTCGCAACTTCAAAGGTTCTGAGCAGTCAAGCATGATGCAATTATATTTAACAAACCTAAGTCTGCCTTATGAACAGGTCTGCCAGTCGATATTTCAGATGATTAAAATAATTTCCCCTTAGAACTAGATGTCTTTTCGGTTTAGCGTTATGATTTTACGATTTACCAATAAAACAATTACATGTACACTTTACGTATTGATGTCGAGGTACTTTTTATTTCTTTAAAATTGCATAATTATTCTGAACAAAACAAGTGTACTAATAAAGTTCTATTCTAAGATTGTCGTCGATTACAAAAATATGTTGGATACAATCAGCCTGCTATAAAAGCTATGATCATCATAAATATAATGATATGCTTAATAGAAACTGACATCGGCTGAGGTCGCCTTTGATATATTGTAAGTGTAACAAAATTTTTTTTCAATTCAATTTATTGTGTATCTTTTATTACTATTTTTTATTCACTTGATCTTTTTGGGGGTCCAAAGCAAATGTAAGAAACGAATGTCCGGTAAAATACATAACTATATTTATTTCAATTTTTCAAAAAAATCCAGCACGATTAATAGAATCTATTTTTGTAAATGTGTAACTTTGAATTATGCAAACACTCAAAAAACATTAATTGTGAAGATCGAACAGACAATTACAAAAACAGCATATTTTTTTTTAAAGATATCAGTATTCATAATGTCGTGATGGAACTAAGATTGCTTCATATCTTGTGTTCAAACATTTTGCCTCCAGAATTTTAGTTATAATTGACATTGTCAGAACTGAATGATACCAATGCTGCGTGGAGAAGCTTCAAAAGGCATCTTGTAATTAATATTAGGTCATTCGAGATCCAATGCATTGTGTACCACGACATAGAAGAAACTTAAATAGAAATACACTAATGTAAACCCTTTTAATACATCAATACGTTCAGCTTGTAACATTTACAAAAATTGATTCTATTAATCGTGCTCGAAGCTTTTAAAAAGTAATATATATATATATATATAGTTATGTATTTTACCTGACATTCGTCACTTTCATTTGCTTTGGACCCCATAAAAGATCAATATCCGTTTCACAGAGGATAGCGGATATGTTCCTAATGTCGTAACTACAATCCCGTTCCCTTTTCACGGATGTGACCTACCAATTTAGAATATTACCGGGTTTGTACTAACATGAGCAATACGACGGGTGCCTCATGTGGAGCAGGATCTGCTTACCCTTCCGGAGCACCTGAGATCACCCCCAGTTTTTGGTGGGGTTCGTGTTGCTAAGTCTTTAGTTTTCTATGTTGTGTTTTGTGAACTATTGTTTGTCTGTTTTTCTTTTTTTTCATTTTTAGCCATGGCGTTGTCAGTTTATTTTCGATTTATGAGTTTGAATGTCCCTCTGGTATCTTTTGCCCCTCTCTTGTAAGTTAGTTTATTTGAACTGAAACCACCACATGTCTAAACACTGACAGAACAAAACAACTGTTCATATACTATTGAGAAACAATGTATTTTATTTATAATTTGAACATTCTAATTTTGATTTTACTACCTTTTATTTTTAAGGTCATGGAATCGAACCGAATTTAGGGAGATACGATTTGATTTTTATGGGGGGCTAGGATGAAAAATTTTGTCCTGCATTTTTTTTATACTTGTAATCTCTGTCCTGCCTTTTTATTTTTCACTCTATTCGGTCCTGCCTTTTTTTATTAGTTTATCCTGACTTTTTTTACCTAAATTGTCATCCTGCCTTTTTTTTCCAAGTTGCTCATCCTGCCTTTTTTTTACTCAAAACATCTGTCCTGCCTTTTTTCAAATTTCATCCAAGCCCCCACCACCACCCCTAACAAATCAAATGGTAGCTCCCATAACAATGCACATTTTTTATGTTCATCCCCGTGAATTTATCAATGAAACGCAGACGAGTTTATTCATGCAACCGAACCACTATTGGAACGTTTCATACGGGTAAAAAGTTTTATCAACTACACATGTAATTTTATGTTCTGACCAAAGAAACATTGTTAAGACAAATTGCCGATAAAAAAAATAAAGGAACGACCATTTCATTCTAAGAGGGTAGTAATGCTTTTCGTTTTTCTTTTTAATTTTAAATAAAAAAATTTAATCGGGGAGAAGGAAAAAAATATTCTGATAAAGATTTTTTGCCATTGAATTTTATGTTAATTGCGTGGTACGACGGAAATTTAGAATTTAAAAAAAAAAAAAAACCTCCCTAACCCTCAAAGTTAAATGGTCCTTCCTTAATTTTATTTCGTATGTTTGATGCTGACTTATCATCTCAAATACAAGCGCTTGACTTAGCCGGCTCTCTCGCAATTCTATCAGTACCAAGAACAACAATGTCATTGTCCTATAAATAACATAATTTTGCTCGATTAAAGTTAAAAAGATATAAGATTTCCATAAAGGTGTGTGGTTATACACTAGAAATCAGAAAAAGATTGAAAAATATTCATGAATCAAGTCCACCATATTCTGAATTGTTTGCAATACAAGCATAAACATTTCACATACACTAATATGACAAAGTTAAAATAATAAAAAAAAATATGTTGATATTATTGTTTTCATTTAAAATTTAAAAAGATATAAGATTTCCATAAAGGTGTGTGGTTATACACTAGAAATCAGAAAAAGATTGAAAAATATTCATGAATCAAGTCCACCATATTCTGAATTGTTTGCAATACAAGCATAAACATTTCACATACACTAATATGACAAAGTTAAAATAATAAAAAAAAATATGTTGATATTATTGTTTTCATTTAAGATCAGCTTAAGAAAATGCGAGACCAATGTATGCGATCCCGCAGAATATAAATTGATACAAATAACAGTTAATATTTTTTGCAAAACTAATCCGGCCACAATAAAAAATACATTTTTTTGAATTTACAGAAAAAATAGAAATAAAATACTATGATAAAACAATGTATGTTATTTGTGTTTACTTGACTATTAAATTTAATTGAGGCTATTTTTAATTCAGTAGCAACAAGAAACGACAGACATTGAATTACCTCTTTTTGTTTCACTGATGACAATTACAACAGACAAACGATGTTTAAAGTATTGGTTGTCTTTTCTGTAGAAAATATTGATTTCTTTTGAAATGTAATCCTTGGTGTATATAAAATCGGATCAGGCATTTAATAAGCACAATCTTACAAAGTTTCTACTGTCATAATCCAGATTTCATCTGAGTAATTTATGTTTCATATAACAAGCAAAAAGATGTAATGAATGAAATATTGATACAATTCAAAAAATAAAAAAAAAAGAAATGGAGAAAATAGTGTTTTCCTAGGTATAAAAAAGTCATGTAATCATTATAAAAATGTAGTTTATATGTAGCCATTTAATAGCTTGGTAATATTGTTTTCAGGAAGCCAATTAATGTCTTTTATGAACGTCACATATCGCTTATGGCAATCAAAAACCATAAGTCGGAGAAACACAAACAACAACATGACCAGCAGTAAAATGACGCATAGACAAACAGCGGTCAATATTCATTGCAGATTCAGATTCAATATTTTATTAAAGTCTCACTACTAATATAACATAAAATATAAGTATACAAATATATAAAACATAGCGTATATTAAAACTAACAGTAAAATATCATTATCTCAAATACTAAACATTTTCCATTCTATTAAGAATTATGAGAGATTTTTAAAGGATTATGCTATTTATTGTATCTTACACTAACCAATGAAGAACGTGCAAACCATATTAAAATTTGCTTTGAACGTTTGTTGGTTTGTAATCAAAATTAGGCAAAGGACGTGTGTAGAACGCAGATAAGTTAATGATGAACAATTCCCTACTTTTAATAATCGAAGACAAATTTGTATGAAAATCATGAAACATTAGGTTCTAGTAGTACATTGTATTAGAAGATTAAGGTTACTTACTAAAATATTTAGATTTTGCATTGTAGTTCGGTATGTTTTCCCATTATATTCATTTATAAAATGAGTATGGCGAGGTACTGCATTTGGCCCGAAACAATAGAAATTTCTTATCAATATTATGTATAAATACATATATCTATAATCTGAAATATTCAAATTTAGAAAATGATTTTTTTTCTGTCTGCAGTCACTGGCTGTTGCTTGTTTCAGGCAATGTTGAAAACCTCCGACGTATGACAATTTACCAGTTTTAAATCACATTTTCTTGTGAAATCCGTTTTAATGTCTATTTCCTTCTGAACAACATTGGCCACAATCTTTGACCAAAATAAATTTATTATGAAAAGAGGTAAATACATGTAGGTCAGATACACATCTTAATGAATAAATGAGTTGACGCAAAAACATCAAAATTTGGTAAAACGAAAAAGTTAGAATTAAGATTTCCATCAATCGAGTGCACAATTATGACCTCATAGAGACACAATAACTGATGAATGTATCTGAACTGGTTAATTTGCTATTTATCAGATATTTTTGATTTCCTTTTCATTAAACCTTTATGAAAATTGCTGAACTTTAATTACATTGAATTTTAGGGCCAATATTAACCCTTCATGTACCTTCTCATTTATTTGTTACTTTTTGTATTCCACATAAATACAGAAAACTTTCTAATTGATAAAATGATCATAAAATAAAAAATCTATAAAATCTGACGAATTCTGAGATTTTTGAACTTATATCATTGAGCAGTCATAACATTAGAAAAGTAGGGCAAATTTCACTCCAGGCTCATTTTCAGGTTTTACTTGAATTCACAGTATCACAACTCCGTGTGTGTACTTTGAGGTTCTAAAAATTCTATGGATTTCTTTCGGGGATAAAACTCAATTCATTTTGGTTAGAGACGTCCTTTATTGATTCAATGAAATATTTTACAAAACTTTTTAAATTGGCGATGTTGTGTCACAATGCCTTCAACAGTGACATATACCGGCGTTGAATAACATTTTGATTAAATGAAAATTTGTTCAACTGTTGAAAAAAGTTTTAAGTATATGATATAATCTTTTTAATATTCAAATTTCAGTAGGATTTGAAAACTTTTAGATTCCAAATCCTGGAACGAAACAAATAAATACAGGTGAAATTGGCCTTACTTCTTTCCTTTCTTGTTTTCTTAAGAAATTTCTTCTTACAAATCTTACAAAATCGTTTTAACCAATTGTTTCCACGAATACACTGCATCACAAGTGAATTGATGAAAATATATATGATTAATGGTAAAATTTTGATTCAAACATAGAGGAATCTGATGAACAGTAGTTGTCGTCTGTTTATGTAGTTCATACGTGTTTCTCGTTTCTCGTTTTTATATAGATTAGACCGTTGGTTTTCCCGTTTTAATGGTTTTACACTAGTAATTTTTGGGGCCCTTTTTAGCTTGCTGTTCGAAGTGAGCCAATGCCCCGTGTTGAAGGCCGTACCTTGACCTATAATGGTTTACTTTTATAAATTGTTATATGGATGGAGAGTTGTCTCATTGGCACTCATACCACATCTTCCTATATCCATTTAATATTATACTTTAAAAATAAAAAAATAAACATATTTATTTCGTAACAATACTAAAACACTTGTTTCCCATGTTAAGGTGGTACCTAACACTACAGGGAGATAACTCTGTAAAAATCAGCTAAACGTTTTAATTACGTTGTATTGTTAAGGAAATATTAAGCTTCTCAATGATCAAAATTAATGTTTGTCAAACTGCTATATAACCAATGAAATTTTTCTGATAAAGTTGTTGGTTCAAATTTTTTGAAATTTTTATATTTTTGTCAAAGGGTCAAAGTAAACATTTTGTCAAAATTTTACGAAAATTAAACGAGCCAAATTAATATTAGTCAAGGTGTTGGGTACCACCTTAAGCAATACTATTTAACATGAAAAATTAAGATATCCATATCTACACAATATCAAAACTTTGATCTGTTCAATAACAACGTATCCATCGGATATTAATATTTTATCAAGAAAAAACTATAAGACTGATAACTGTTTTGTAAAAATGATATCGTTATTCTTTTTAAGGTTTGTCCGGTGATGACTTTCAGTTTCTGCCTAATGGAGATGGTCCAGCTCGATACCGAATCCTTAATTTTCATCAAAAAGACAAAGGTGTATATGAATGGAGTACAGTTGGATATTTCAAAAATGGAAATCTCTCTGAGGTTTGTAAAATTATTGTCCTAATTGAACTCGGTGTAGATTCCCTAAGACACTTAGTTTCTTTAAAAATGTAAGAGCGAATTGTGTGTTTTCGACCTTTAAAAGCAAACAAGTTTACATCGGTGTATTGTAAATTAGATAAACCATATGTGATTTTCAAATATTTTTATATACACCAAGATGATAATGTATAAACCTATATATCATATTTAATTCGTACACTGTAGCTTTAACACACCTAGATCAACAACACTAGGAATAATAAAACAAAAGAGTCATTTGGTATTCCGCGATTTCATTTAATAGCTAGTTTGCCTTGATAATCGACCTCATGCTCGTTCAGTACTGTAAATATCAAGGATTATGCATATGTTTATATTTGTTTTTGTTGTCAACATTACACAAAAGGCTTCGCACAATTAATTTTTAAAGAGACACTGACTCTTATTCTTAAGATAACCATTCGGTAGTTACTTTTAAGTCAATTAGAAATGAACCTTTTTACCATTTGTTCTATGTTAAATGATTACAGTTGGTCCTGACACGATGACAGTTAAGTATACTGCACTATGTAACATTTGTAATTTGCCGATATTCTGAAATATGACCTTTTAAAATATCAATTGCACTCACAAACTCGAGTAATAGAGTATTCTTATCTGGACAATTTTAGCAGGAGTTCTTACTTAAATATTCCAATGACACACGGTTAAATTACCTTTGAAGGTTGACAAGACAATATATGAATTCACATCATTAAAAAAATATCGTATGATAAAATAATTGTTTCACAAAAGGCTCGATCTTTACACTATTTCTTTTATATAAACAGATGCAAAACTTAACGTACAGACTTGACGAACCGATGCATCCACCGTCTGTTTGTAGTCATCCATGTGGACCAGGGGAAGCAACTCAACTTGTTGAAGGTGACTCCTGTTGTTGGACATGTATGAAATGTCATACTTATCAATACATGCCATCGAAATCTGAATGTGTCACGTGTCCTATGGGTACAATACCAATTGCCGATAAATCTTATTGTCAACCAATTCCACAGAAATTTCTTGACTATGGTGATGCTTTAAGTTTTTCTGCCATGATTGTTGCAACACTTGGATTAGCAGCGACATCTACCGCAATGATTACATTCCTTAGATACAGTGCTACACCTATCGTAAAAGCATCAGGGAGAGAGCTGAGTTTTGTTCTTTTGGTTGGAATTTTTTTGTGTTATTCGATGACTTTTATACTTGTTTCAAAACCAACGGAAGTTTCGTGTGGAGCTCAAAAATTTGGAATTGGACTATGTTTTTCAATTGTGTATTCTGCAATACTGACTAAAACTAACAGAATCTATAGAATCTTCAAAGCAGGGAAAAGAACAACAAAACGTCCTAAATTTATTAGCCCTAAATCACAACTTGTGATTTGTGGGTCATTGGTTGCAGTTCAAAATGCAGTGGGTATAGTTTGGGTACTGCTACGGCCACCAAAAGTTATATCGTATTATGCCAATAGAGACGATCATCAGTTAGTTTGCAATGACGCCGTGGAGGCGTGGTATATGGTGGGATTTACCTATCCAATATTTTTAATTATTGTTTGTACTTTCTTTGCATTTTTGACACGTAACATTCCTGAAGCATTTAACGAATCAAAACATATAGGATTGACTATGTATACAACTTGTATTATATGGTTAGCATTTGTGCCAATTTTTTTTAGTACTGCAGACGAAATAGACATCAGAATAGCCACCATGTCGTTTGCTATAAGCCTTAGTGCAACCGTAGCTTTAGCATGTATGTTCGCGCCAAAATCATACATCATTATATTTCATTCAGAAAGAAACGTCCGACAATCTTTAATGGCAGCCAAGCCGGTAATGTCCGGCCCTGTAGTACAAAATAATTATAGAGCTACAAAATGTAACATTCGTATAGACACAGATTCAAAATCATACCAAGGTAAATAGACATGTAGTATTGATTAACAACACCGACTTTTTAAAAAAGGAAATATCATTTTGTATAGTGTTTTTCTACTTTTTATTATGGCTCATAATACTTCCAATATTTTCTGTCATGTGAAACCATTAACACGCATATATGTTTGTTTGGCCTAAGAAAAGTAAGGGCTATGTTAGATAAGACAGATCAGAAGAAGAAATCTTTAATCTGACTGCCTTCCCCAATTATAGGTTAATGAATTGAAAGCGATTGCCAACTGCTACAATACTTGACTACTAGTTTTGATTTATATATCTTACAAAATCCAAGTTAAAAAACTGCCCCGATTGTCTAGTGGTTGCATCCTTATTTCAAATGCTGGAGTTCTAAAACACAAAAATGGGTAATTTTATGAAATTTAAGAAATTAAACGAAAAGAAACGTGCAGCAAGCAGAAATCATGTCAAAATACTTTTACAGGACGTAAAGGCATCGTTATTTGTCTTTTTTTTTATATAAATAGTTCCTAAATTACGCAACGGTTTAAGTGGGCCTTTCAAATAAATACGATGGAGAAGTATGGAACACGCTGAACCCTTCCCATAATCCTCAAATATAACAAGAGTAACCAAACATGAAACAAGAAACACATAATTATGAGTTTAAGTCATAACTTCCGGAATGTATTGATCATTATGAATTTAAATAATCAATATTGAAGTTAACAATTTGATTTTTCTATTTGCAGGTTCCGATATGGAATTAACTCATAGACTTAGAACATCCGGTTCATGTAATAGCTTGTGTAGTAGATCAACTAATCTGACGCAAGCCAATGGGATCAGTATAAGTACGCAGACACTAAACTTCCCTGTAAGACTCAAATATGAGAACAGGGAGCCTGAACAAGATCAGGCTGAAGAAACAGAGCAAGATCAGGATGTGCAATTATGAGACAGAATGAAACCCATAAATATTTTTGTATGCTTAGTTTGATTCTTGAACTTTTTTGTCCAGCAAGTCAATAATATGAGATTGTTTTTTTTCTGCGTTATGCATAGTCCTGCATCAATGGTAGCTGTATATTTGTATAATTAACTTGGTTCATATGAAGACAAAAAATGCTTTCGTCAAAGACGTTGGTATCTTTTATTTAACTTTGTAAAAAAAAAGCATAAAAGAAAAAAAACCTGGCAGGTTGATAGAAAAGAAAAATGTATATAAAAGGCAAACTGTCTCAAACAATAAATACAAATGGTTTAATACGGCAATTAAAACAAATTTTGTGTTATTATTTCAACGAAAATGCGTGTGTTTCTGGAACGGTAAAACGATTCCCGTTTTAAAGGTTCAATTAGTGTCGATTATATTATTGAATATATATTTGTTTGCCTATATGTATCTGTATATTCATATTTCTTCAGGTAATTCGGGTATCGAAAGGTTAAAAGACAAAAACTTGCAGAACATTAGATGACTGAAAAGAAACTCCTTATATGTATATCCAACAATATCAGTCATGTCAGATTCTTAAACTAAAAACAGAATTCCATTTTATGCTCAATTATGTATGTTTTATAGTAAATAAAATATTCTAATAAAAGCTTGTGTGTGTGTGGTATTATTTAGAAACAGTAACCAGTTGGTTAGTTTTTGTCTAAATGACGTTCATAAGCTTATCTGGTTTAAGAAGTATATAATTGTATATCTAGTGACAAGCACAAAGTAAAAAAACAAACATTGTTAAACGAAGAAATATTTAAAATGACTGTTGACGAACAAGACAAGTCAAAAATATCAAGACAATTGTACGCATAAAGATCCAGTGGCAAATATTACATGCATATTATGTCGAGAATATTTTAATATTATGAATATAAATACTGATTCGTATTAGACCGACACGTTGCATCTGATCTTTGACGATCTAGCTCACAAAGTAGCAGTCTCAATGATGACATGTTCGCAATGATTTTAACTCTGGGCCGACAAGCTCTTACTCCTAAACCACGTGCGTAGGGGCTTAGAGGAGATGTATAAAGTCTTTGGTTTGAATCTACCGTAGATCCTCCGCGTAGGGGAGTGCGCTACCACGAAACCACTGAGGCGTTCTTTATATAAATTGGAATGTTATATATACAATATATGTACATTGTCGGAAAATATAAAATTTATATGTACGAGCTTTCGAAATAGGACGAAAAGCGAGGCTCACCGACCTTTTCTCCTGTTTCGTAGCGATTACAAATTTTATATTTCCGACAATGTACATATGTTGTTTTTATCCTGCAATTTACACCCGGCACTTGAAGCATTAGTTGTTTTTAAAAATCCAAATCATTGTCTCTGATTTATCAAAGATATCGACATAGTTTAAACTCGGACAGCAAAACGGACCCTAAAATGAATTGTTCCGCAAAATGAAATAATTTTATCCATATTACCGCTTGCTCAACATGGAAACTGGTTTACTGGAAACTTTGTATTTACAAGAACAAATAAAGCAAAAATTTATTTGTGTACCTGTTATTTGTACAATAGTTGGCTGATTGCAGGATAAAAGATGTTACGCCAGGCATAAATATCCCGTACTGAGTTTCACACTTCAAAAAATCTAACGATAAAACTTACGTTACATCAAGTTACGCAAGTTTATTTGAGTTTTCTCTTTGTTTGTGTATGTGAAGTTAACTGTTACATGGAATGTGATCTTAACTTGGTAAAGTAAAAAAATGGGTATAACTACTTGCAAAAATATGTCAGCGATCGTTCATCTCAAAGTATGTAAATTATTTGTAAAGTATACATGTACATGTAACTGTATTCTCTCACATTCAAACTCTGTGTTTTTCGAATTGGAAAACAGCAATTTAACAGCAATAACCCATACAAAGACACCTTTAGGACAACATTCTCTCTTAACTGGTGAACTGGTGCACATACCGCATGCCAGGTGTAAATCGCCCCGAGTAATAGACAATATTACAGAATATTTTAACAGAGATTACCACAGATATGTTAACAACAAAAAATAAGATATTTTGAAGGACAAGCACTGACGTTAACCTTTATTTTGCTAGTATACGAACCAATTTAACGTACTCAGCCTTTTCTACTTAATATCAATCAATAGAATATCAAAATTGACAGAGGAAAAGGCACAGTAAAAATCTGTTCAGAAAAGTACTAACATTAGTAACAGAACATCAGACGACAAATTGAAATTAAAACAATACATATTGATATATACTGCATCAAATAATGCAAGTATTATTTGACCAGCTTGCAATGTTCGTATGGAATCGTTTCCACCAAAATGCATCCGCTTGAGTCACTGGTTTTCAAACTACTTAATATCATTTGGGTGAAATATCAAATATACGATTGAGTCAATTCTTTAAAAAAACCCGATAACTTTCTGTCCCTTCTTCTGTCAGAGCTCTAAACAGTTGTGATAAATAATGTAAATATTGCAAATCCATGAATTTGTAAGAAATATTATAGATATACCTTCATCATTTTTCATTCTTCGTATAGTTTCAAATTCTAAAAAAAAAAACCAATAAAATGGCGCTGCCGGTTTGCTACCATTCAATGAAAACTCAGACCTATCATGCCTCGTCGTATATATCACAGATGTAATATTATTAGATTGTGTCTTCAACTATGAACTGAAAAGACCGCCAAACGGAAACGTATAGAAAGCAGAAAAACACGTCTTATGAGAAAATTATATTAAAAAGATCTATCGAAAAACAAATTGCTTCAATCTTCATTTCGACAGTGCTGTTCGATGCCAAAAGCCTAACATGTGACTTAAACTGTATTTGACCTTCAGTATTTAATAAAGAGCAAATTGAGAAATCCACTGTACCAATATTAATATGTTCGAGTTGAGCAGAATTTGCATACGCACAACGATATACAGGGAACTAGTTAAAACTAGTTATAATCTGATGTTCAGTAGTTGTCGTTTGTTGATGTGGTTCATAAGTGTTTCTCGTTTCTCGTTTTTTATATAGATTAGACCGTTGGTTTTCCCGTTTGAATGGGTTTACAATAGTAATTTTTGGTGCCCTTTATTTGAAGACCGTACTTTGACCTATAATGGTTTACTTTTTATATCTAGATATAAGTTTTAATTTTGAATGGATATATTGTTTAAAACGGTTCCGCATGCAGTAACCATTTAAATCTAGTAAATGGTGGAGTCTAGTTAATATGGAGATGTTGGGTATACCTCATTGAGACAGAACACAATAAAACGAGACAAGACAGCATACAAAATGTTATTAAAATATTATGCATGAGACAATTGACAGAATAGAATTCAACTCTAATTTGTAATATTTATAATAATTTCAACAACTTTAGCTCTATCATAAGCAATGTACTGCAAACTCTGTATTTATATTTCATTTGAATGTGTCAAAAACATACTAATATACTTCTCAAATGTAATTTTGATATTTTTTACAAGGCACTTGTAACTACTAGATCTACTTTAAAAATCATTTCTTTTATATATTTCGGGTGGATAGTAAATAGTCCCGCCACACATCGTTTAACCTTTAAAAATAACAATAATATATATTTGATAAAAAGATAATTTCTAAAAAAATAAGCCAAATCATGCAAAAAAAAAATTTTAAATACTTATTGGCGTTAACCATGCTTTGTTTAAAATATATACATTTCATGTGCTTCATTATTATAATTAATTAAAGTTCATAAATTTCAGATACATTTATACACATTTTATATATACAGGATTTCTACAATCGTTACAAATCTTTTTACAGCTGTACAAAAATTAAAAAAATATATTTATTTAAACATAATGTACACAACAGCACTGTTCAAAACAAAAGACGAAAGACACAGTTTTGGTGATAACATTTTACAACATAAAAATGGCCGACAGGATAAATGTGGTTAAACTTATGATATATGTTGTTCCTCTTATGAATGGTGCACTTGATACTTGTCGGAGTTTACGCGCGAAGTTATCAATGCTGCAGGCGTCGTTTGCCAATGTTTTCTGTAGTGACTGATCATTCTGGCAGGTCTTTGGAAGCAGGCGACACTCATATTCATTTTTAAGCCCGACGCTGGCAGGAGAACATTTTCTTGTCCATGCGCCCATGTCACACTGGAGGTGGCTTACTCGAATGCTGTAACAGAAACGCAGAATTATAACTACATTTATACACAATAATTATACACTAATAGGACAGAAAAAAAGATAATAATAATAATAAAAATAATAATAATATCAATAACGATATTACTAATTATATTTAAAATATCAGTAATGATAATAGTAAAAGAGTAAGACAATACTTCAAATGATCAAATTGGAAAAAAATATCAAAGATAAAAAGAAAACAGTAAAACGTCACTCACGTGCAATATTCTTTGAAAAATGCTGTTTGGTTCATTCCAAACTCGATTTGCCTCGCTGCCAAATCAATCATTCCAGAAGACATTTTGTCCATGCAGTTTTTGACGTCAGTTGTTGCCTCTTGGAAACACTGGAGACCATCAATATATACTGTAACGAAACATGTCCCCAAAATTATACATTCACGTTCAGTCTTGTATAATAAGATAACTTTTCATGTATTATAATAGGCACTTTGTCACTAACAATTGCATGATGACCTGTAGATTATCTTTTTTTCATGTTTTTGTTGTTGTGTTACTGTCACACAGCTTTCTTGCAATTCATATGTATTAATTCAAGAGAATGTGGGATTACTGTCAATGAAACGGCAAACAAACCATACAAAAAGCACAGGGAACAACATAAAAACCTTCACATCGTACTGACTCTACAAATTTTAAATAAATTTGTATATACATTGTGAATTACAAAAATGATATTAAAAAAAATAAGAAAAAAAGATGAGCGTGGGCATCACTTGTACATGTAAGTCACTTTAATATAGTTATATCATAACAATTCTTTAAATAAACAAAATCTTTAAAGTTACCTTCTATATCATCACAGAGGACCTCAATACTGGCTTCCATGGAAGAATGGTCGTATCCAGTCAGCAACAGATACTCGGCAGCGCCAGCGCAGTTATCCAGAACGTCTCTCATACACCCAAACAGTTTACCACGAAGTCTATAGTTGGGATGAAACGTATTATAAACGCAAACCTGAACACAAATTTCCTACATTTATACAGTGAAAAAAATTACAGAAACAGCTATGTTTAAAAATACAAAAAATGTTTGTCCCAAATATAAAATTGTATATGATTGAATAAGAACTGTTACAGTGTAATTACCAACAAGTTAACCAAACCCATAAAAGAGGGGCGAAAGATACCAGAGGAACATTCAAAATCATAAGAATTGCAAACAGGACAACTCCACAACCGGCTTGTATTGTACATGTCAACAACAACAACAACAACAACATAATAATAATAATAATTGTATCAGATATGAATACAACAATGTAAATCGACTACAACGATGGCATGTCGCTATCTACAGATCTACTTTAAAACTATATACTGTACATACCCGCAAAATTTAGATGCGGCTGGATTATCCTTTCCAATAATAGCACCTTTGATTTCAGTTTCATTTGAAATAAACATATCTGCTGTCAATCCAATTTTTCCATAGCAACCTTGTAAGTCTCTGTTGGCTGTTTGGATACATGGTCTTGATGTTGGTAAATTACCTTTAGTAAAACATTGTGTGATGAAATATACAGTTACCTTATGTCCCGGTAAATTTTGTTTAATTGGTTGTTTTAGATCTTAATGTGTATTTTTTAATATTTAAATGTATCAAAATATTTTAGAAATCATTAAAAAGTTATTCCTTAGTCGATAGTGAATATATTTTCTTGAGATAATACAGAATGTGTAAATTTATTAGAACATTATATTTCCAACAACCGTTGGGTTCCATGTAAAAACTAAAGTACATGCAATGCGAAAACAGTAATAATAATTCAGACAGGTACCAGTTTTCTTACGCTTAGACAATTATAACAACTAAAATGAATGTGCATTTGAAAATGACCGTTTTCTAGCACTGTGTCGGTACCACTGCTGGTGACTGTTAGTCCCAGAGGTTATTACACAATGTATCAGTTAAGTAGTCAATGCATCGGCATTGACGTGATTTATGATATACCTTTCTTAAATTCTCCAATTAACAGGAAAAGGAGGTTCAAACTCACTCCGACAAAGTTGACCTTATGCGGATATGACTAGTTTCTTTTTGTCATATAGCTCTTTACTTGTTTTATCATTTATACATTGTCTTGCAAATGATGGGTTTTAGCGTTTCTGATGTAGGATAACCCAGAAATGGCAAAGGATGTACCAAATCTATCAAGTGTTATTTTCGCTAACTAACACTATAGGTCGATATCGCTGCTGGATGACGATTAGTCCTCGTAGATATCATCAGCTCAGTAGTCAGTGCTTCGGCACTACTGCACTGGCATGAATAATACTATACTTTTCTAAACTTTTCTATTGATAAAATTAGAACTTATCAAGAAACTTAGGTTCCTTCTCCCTCGGCCAATGTTGACCTTAGGGAGATTTGCCTATTCTTTTTCGCTTACCGTTCATTTAAGGTCCTTGTTGGGATGTATAAATAAGTGATACTCTAAATCTATAAACTTCACAAACATTTTGTTATGAGTACCTAAGAGTACAACCTGGTGAGCTAAGCGTAATTTTGTTTACCCCTAATTGTTTTGTTTTTTTGAACGAGGTGTAAAATAATATTTTCAAGAAAAACCAGCTTGGCCCTCGCATACTTTAGTGTAAAGGTTCAGTTTAGGGTTATGATATGGTTGTTTTGAGTTAGGGTTAGGTTTCAAGGCTATTGCTAGTGTTAGGGTAACGTAAGGATAACTAAGGGTTAGTTTTAGGCTTGGGGTTAGTTTCGTACAATCCTATATGGATTATATCCCCGAAATTAAAAGAAAGCCACCAGTATTGCGTGTATACACCGCAATCTGAGGCATAGAAAGATACAGAAAGAACCAGATATAAGAAATATACAGATATAAGAAATATACATATAGAACCAGATATATGAAAGATACCAAAAGAACCAGATATACCTGAGTTAGTACGACCATTATTAGATGTACCTGCTCCACACATATCCTGTAAGGAGGACAATCTTCGTACAACCTGGTTCTCTGCAAAGTTAAATTCCAGAGGATCTGTACAAGAACCAGCACCTCTCTTGTTTAATGTTGCGGGAATAATGCACTGTATCACCTGAGGCCGGATGCTGTTAAAAATCATTTGAAATTTAATATATTTGTATTTTAAATATGCAATTTTGTTCTCAATTTTATAATTTAACATAACTTTATCAATATTTGTATACACATTTATATCTTTAAAGAGTGATAAGCTCTGATTTGTCCCATGGATTGAGAAGTCCTGAACTAATTTGACAACGGAGACGACAAAATAACTGACACTTAAAATCCAATGACATGTTCGGATAAACTCAGATTCCAAAATTAAAAGTATGCCAATAGGTTCTTCTTTAATTTCTTATTTCTTATTACAAGAACATGATAATCTTCCTTTATTTCGACATGAATAGAATATTATAATCTTTTTTGTTTTGACAAGAAAATGCTTGCAATTTTTGCCACTGGGCATTAAGTGGACAATAATCAATCATATGTTACAGATATATCTTTACATTCTGTGTTAAAGAATATTTCATTGTCTAATTAACAGAAAAGGCATTCATTTGAAAATCAAAATTTAAGGTCTCCGTAACTCCGTAACAAGTCCGAGTACTACTACATGGAATATGAATGGGTTAATTTTTCAAAGTTGCCTGTTTCAGATATACCCATCCACACAATCCGATCCATATTAATTCCCCTAGAGTGGGACACTTTAGCTAAAAGCATACTTACTTGCAGAGGGCACGTCTAAGATCTAGTAAGTTGGCGTTTGGTGGTAGTGGTGTAATTGTCCCGTTAGAAATAACAGCATCGACAAGTTGTAACTGGTAACCGGCATTCTGAAAGCAATTTGAACTAATCGAAATAACTTCCATCACACATGAGTCAGCCTGACGAAGAATGTTTCCCTGTTGGTTGCCTGGGTTTCCAGGCAAAGTCGATTCAGGCACGTTTTGACCTTGGACTTGTCTGCCTTGATTTTGTCTAAGGTTCATAGGAAATGTTTGTCTTTGTCCTGGCTGTCCTGGTTGTCCTGGTTGTCTGGGTTGAACTGACTGTGCAACAGACTGCAAAATCATTGTAAAGCCTGTAAAATATATTGACGAAACATTTACAATGATTATGAACAGTTCAAAATTTCATGGATAAATTGTAAAGAAAGTTCTATTTTTCAGTGTGTGCTGAAACATAATAAATATGTAGTAATAATATCGCTCGTGTCGTCACTCGCTGCTTTCTTACGGGGAATATATAGATTTGAAGAACGACAAACTGATTTGTTTCCGTCTAATGATACCTTAAAACAAAACTCAGTGTCCCGCCCTCTATACCAGTCTATACAGTTTGTACGCACTTAAAATTGTAGCACTTTGTAGCCTCTCTTCTGTCGACATATTCTTTTGAGATATTTTTAATTCATTCTTATCCAGAATGTGTATGAAATACTTTTCACTAGACGTGATATAAACAATTAATGAGTCTATCAAGCAAATAAAAATTCCACAACTTACAATTATAGCAATCGAAGGAAACACGGGAAATGTCTGGTTAATTTGTATGTTGTATATTACTGTTATTATTCAAACATTATCAGGAAAATCTTATATATATATGATATGTGTGCGTGTGTCGCGCTTTTGGTATAAACTGCAGTTAATGTTCAAATTTATTTCTAACTAATTAATAATAATAATAATAATAATAATAATAATAATAATAATAATAATAATCATTAATTTTAAATCATTTAACTTCAAAACTTATTTAATTTATTATTTATAACCCTTCTTTTTGGCATATAATTATCATGTTTAACTGCTGTACGTATGTACAGCTTTGAATTTTTCGTGTTTAAACTTCGTAATATATAAATAGTAGAGACATTCTGCCAGAAAATAAATATTGCTGATTTTATGAAAATTCTTTTTAACCCAGATTATGCAATTAAAACATTTGGATGCATATATAATAAATTGAATTAAGAAAATTTAGAACTGTCTAAAGAAGGGTATTTAGATGATACCCTTGTCGTATATTCTAGAAAATGCAATTGTATTTTGGAATACATGTGTTTCAATTAATCAAGCATACTTACATGTAATTGTAATAAGAATCGATTCCATCGTAATCATCCTTAAAGCTAGTTTCTGTTTTAAGTGAGCTTAGTTTCTTTTAAAGTTTTCTCCACAACCACACGCAAATCAATTCCACTGAATCTAACTCGAAATGTTATTACGACCGAAATGAAAGGATAGATAGATTGACGTCAAATGCTATATTTTAATGATTAAATATCGGGTGATTTAAAAAATGCATCTTCGAGATGATTAATTAAGAAGTTTTCATTGCATCAATCTTATACTTGACCGTGTTCAATGATGTATTTCATTCCTCGGGGTATATGATACTACTAATTAATATTTAACAGGTACAGTAATAATTACAAATATTTACAAATATGTCATATAATCAAAATAATATGTTTTCACTGGGCCTCAGGGCCTTGGAACTTGTAACTGCAGTAAAACACGTAATACACTGAGTCAGCTTCTTGTAAGGGTTTTTATTTTAAGCAATGTTCATGTACAAACATTACCATAATTATTATATACTGTTAATTTCATTGTACATCAAACTACCATACCCAATCAAATCATCAGCTGAAGTAAACGGATATGACCGAAGTAGTTCCTTTTGTTAAATGGTTTTATGTGTTTCAAAGGTTCTAACGGTTATTCTTTTAGCACTTTTATATGACCAGAGACAAATAATAAGAACAATTTTTTTTTAATTTTGTGTCAAGTTATAAAGAAAGTATATGGTGTATGAATTCAAGACACGAAATCATTACACGAGCGCACTTCACCAAACTGAATACAAAGTAACAGAGCTTGTATTGCTGTTTTTCATCTCAAAGTCACAGTATTGCTGTCCTTCATCTCAAAGTTGCAGTTTGTCTTTCCTTCACCTCAAAGTCACAGTGAGGCTATCAACATGGAGCCATTTTTCAACGCTTACACCTCATTGCAATTTCGAGACGACTCCTAACACCGGTTTCAACTGAATTTTTTTAGGGGGGAAAGGGGGGGGGGCTGGGAGCTGGGGCTTGGGGCTTCAGTTTATCTTGTCAGATACATATACATGAAATCGATATAAAACAGACGATTTTCTCGACTGTGGAACATTTATCGTCACTTCTTAGCATGGAAATTTATGACATGAACAAGATGTATTCCCTTTCTGAACACCATTCCACATGTATGTTATTTTCACACATGTATGTTATTTTCACAAATGTATTACATTGTACAAATATATGATATAGGTATAAATAGCATTATTGATGCTGTGTCTTTTTTTTCTGTTAAAATTTTGTACATTTTTTATGCCCCACCTAAACCTTTTACTTTTTTCAAGTTTAACTGTGATAATTAATATTTCTATTTTTATTTCTTAGTTTTAAAGCTCAGTGTTATGTTAAGTTAAAAGATTTAAATCTTTTCTAGATTTTTAGAATTTGAATTTTACACATATAGACTAAAACGACTTGTTTAGTTAATTCTTTTAACATTTAGATTTTAGAAATGTTTGTACATAAGTGTCTCAATAGTCTACATAAGACTGGATATTTGGTCATTTTATTTTGTGTTGTTTATGTAATTGTGTGTATATATATATGTCTGATCAAATATGTGACACTATAATAAAATAAATCATTATTTATTATTATTATTATGTTTTTCGGTCTGTGCGTCCGTTCGTCCGTTCCTCCGTCTGTCCCGCTTCAGGTTAAAGTTTTTGGTCACTTCAAGTTAAAGTTTTTGGTCAAGGTAGTTTTTGATGAAGTTGAAGTCATCTTGAAACTTAGTACACATGTTCCTTCTGATATGATCTTTCTAATTTTAATGCCAAATTAAGAATTTTGACCCCTAATTTCACGGTCCACTGAACATAGAAAATGATAGTGCGAGTGAGGCATCCGTGTACTATGGACACATTCTTGTTTTATAAACAATGTTAGGTGGAAAAATACTATCTATGTAAGTGCATGAACTTCAAAAACAGTAGATGTATATGACTTAAACCCCAAAACATACATCCAAACAACAACAAATCACAACGTATCCATAAAAAAAGACATTGGACCAAAACCTAATCACACATTTCAAAGAAGCCACCACAACGTTTTTAAAAATCTACGATTTACAAAATTGATTCCATGCAATCGGGATAAAACAATTACAAAGAGATATGAGAAAATTTGAATAGTTCAAATGCTTATACTTTCTTTGGCCTTCTTGAAATTAGCATGCAGGTACATTCAATTTTCCTTACCCCCTTGTTTTTATAATAACACGTAGCAAATAGTACATCAGTGATTAGTAATCTTTAAATGATATGTTTGTCTTTGTTTAAAAAAATCATGAAATTAGAAAAACATGCGAGTTCAAAAAGATGTTCAGAAGAAAATACGACTCGGAGGTTTCTTCAATGTCGCATAGAATAGTCTCAACCAATCAAATATTTATTTAGCTATTATATATCAATACATTAAAATTTCGAAGCAGACAACCTACGAAATATGGTTAAGTCTGGAAACTCTGCGTTCTTGTCATGACAAAATACCATAATTATATTTTGACATTGCTACAAGACACATATGGACTCCTCTAAGAATTATTGCAAAGGTTCGCCATCGTTCGAGTAGTCCTCTGCCATAAAATGTAACGACTGGACTTGTCTAGGTGTTTACATACCCCGGTCTACGCTCTTAGGCATTGGTTTTACTGTCTGATTGAAGAGCTACAGTTGACCATATTTCTATATTACCCGATAAACCTTTGGGATGCGTTGTTGTTGGTCATGAATTAATATGATCAGATGAATTTTTCAAATGTTTCAATTTTTATTCTCGTCCTGACCATGTATGAAATATTTGCCACTGCAGACCTGCCATTTTTCACGATTTATGGGGGATTTCTGTACGCAGATGAAACAACTATATAAATATGCATACACCAGGAAAGAGTATTGCTGAAATACAATAAAAAGCACAAGATAATCTCCTGTGGGTGTTGAGGAATTGTGTCATAAAATATGTTTATAAATTATGATAAAAATAATTGTATGGTGACATTTACAAGACAAAAACAGCGTTTCCTTCAAGAATAACCGGTTCTAAAAATTGAGATCATTGATATTCTTCAAAATTGCACCAGTAAAAACTATTGACTCTAATCCCTCTTGGACAGGTCATGTTAATGTATGTATGCTACTTATAACACTCCTTTCATTAGGAGCATTACCATGAGTTATGATGTAAAAGATGACATTTAGCACACTGTGTCGGCACAAATTTAATGTGAGCATTTGCCTACCCAGTTTCCCAGTCTGGCCGAGACGGGACTTACTTCCAGAAAGTTAACCTTCCCCAAAACATGAATAAATGCAATGCAACAATAGATACGAACACACCCACTCACCTGATTAGCTAATCCTTAAATTATAAAAAGCGTAAAATAATAGTGCAAAATATATTCAAAAGGTCACACCGGATGCCGCACAAATGCCATGGCAACGAACGGGAAACCGGTAAGGACATACAGTTACTTGGATTCAAAAGTTAATTAAATATGTTCATCTATTCATAAATATTCTATTTTCTCTTTAAGATTAAGAAATTTCTAAATATTGATTTAAGAATATTATTTTATAATGATAATATTCTCCCACTGATCGATTATTGTGGTAAAGTTTGGAGTGATTGTGCTAAAAATGAACTGTTACGAATGATCAAATCCCAGAATCAGGCCGCGGACTAATTTCAAGTGCTGATCAACGTTCAGCTTCAGCATCACTATTTAAAAGGCTGGATGGCTGATGGAAGATAACAGAATCCTATAGCATGAATGCCTCAAGTATGAAACCACTATATATTTATCTAAAACTGTTAAGAATTTCATATATCTTCATCACCTCCGTTACAAGTTCATTTAAAAAAGACATTACAAATATTTGTTGGAACAATATGAAGTTGTTAGGGCCTCTCTGAAATCAAGTTGTAAAGCTAACTGTGTTATTCTCTCTTAGTTTTACAACTGTTTGTCAAAGTACAGTAAGGCATACAATGTACATATTCAGCAGTGGAATGCCAAATTAATTTTATTGGTTTTAAAAATTGAGTAGGTGAAATAATTGAACATTGATTCTTTTCTTGGAAAATGTAAATTTGTTTGGCATAAACACAGTTAGAAATCAAATGAATCTCAAATGTGACCCGTATTTTTGATCTGTTGTATAAGGGGTTTTGATTTCATGCGTAATTGTGTTCCTTATTATTAGGTCTTTCGAACTTTTTTGTGGAAAGACCTATTGTATTTGTTCTGATTATTATTTTTTTTTTTTTTTCTTCCGCCAAACCCTTTTCTTGCGGTATAAAGTTGTTTCGCAAGATGTCGCTTAGATATTTTGGATATTGTATCGAATAGTTATTGCGCTTTTAAAACTCATCTTGTTAAGGTGAAGACTTTTTATTTTTAGAGTTATCTCCCCAAACACTGTTTTTCTTGTTAGTGTAACCAAAAGAGATAACGACAAAATTCTTTTTCAAATTTGTTCGTTACATCCTAAGAAATTTTTTGCTCATTTGGATCGAAGCGATCCGGTGAAATTTTAAAGGAGTTATCTACCTTTATCAAATAAATTTGTCGTAAAGTTTTTGTAACTCATTAACCGTAATCCGTATCAACCTAAAATCTTTTTATTTGAGGTCCTTGGGTCCTAACTTAGAAAATGAGGTCAAGGCCAAAGTTCAAGGTCATGTTCTGAATTTTGTCTTTTGCTTGTTTTTGCATTTTCTCCAATATTTTTAATGTTATATATAAAAGAACTGTGCAAAATGTTTGTTTTATTGAGATGAAGATATGATATATTTGATTTGAAAAAATCCAGTGACATCTTATAGGAGTTATTGTCCCTGAAATGATTTATTTTAAGGTAAATTGATTATTTCTTCAGATTGGTACATGATAAAGCCATAAGATCTTTTGCAAAATGTTGGGTCACACATGACCTTGAAAAATGTCAACCGGAAGTGACCTTGAGTGAACCGAAAGTAGTCTTTTTTGCACTTATTTCACGTAAAAGTACATAGAAACCATATATTTTTTGAATAGTCATGCATTAACCTATCATTTGAGACCGGAAATGACATTTCATAAACCGGAAGTTGCATATTATCTCCCTTTTTACAGGCATAAG